GGGGCTTGAATCCTCGACCTCCTGCACAACAGTCCAGCACACTATCCATTGGGCTAACTGGGTGGCGGTCCAGGTGCAGCAGCTGTTTTCCCTGAGCTGATACGTAAAAAAAATTCTTTTCATGGAAGCCGTAAAGCAAGCAATTATTGAGACCTGGTCATTCGTAAAAGGCAATCAATCAACCACAGAGGCGAAGAATGATTCAAGATGATGCAGAAGAATTTGAGGTTTTTTTCTTTCTTTTCTTTTCTAATATTGAGGTGAATTGCTCTTACATTTGCCTTAAAGCATTAGGTATCTGGAAAAGAAAAGTTGACAAAATCTCATTTAAATGCCCTGGGATGAGGTAGGAAATGCCACCCTAACACTTGTAACTTAAATTGGAGCTGGCATTGCTTCCAAAATTTTCTTAATCTGATTTGGATCAAGAATGTACAAAAGCTTTATCTCGGATTCATTGTGTCGGTTCTGTCCTCGTGTACCGGTTCACAAGAGCCGTTACAAAAGACCGAACAATACACAACAGCTAACCAATGACTCTTAAACAAAGAAAGAACAATGGTAATTCCCTTGTGAACCGGTACACCAGGACAGAACCATTGTGTCCTTGCCATGTGTAAAAGATGGGAATGTTGGCAAGACAAAGGAAGCATTGTGTACGGTCTTTGTTGCTTTGCAGATAAATTAAGGACAAAGGTTACAAATGGCCCATGACCAATTACGTCAGGGAAGTGAAAGAATGCTTGTTTACATGCAAACAGGTTCTTTTCTCATGTAAAACTCACAGAATACCTAAATCGGTAGCCCACAGACAAAAAAGAATCATGTGAATCAAACTTCCTCTGCATTTGATGATCATTTGACTCCGGCACTTATTACATAATGTATTCCAGTTTTCTTTGTTAAAATATCACAACAAGAGAGTGCCTTCTAATTTGATAAATTTTCTAGGTCAGTAGTTTACATTCACAGTCATGAAACGAGAAATGCAGAACACAATCACATTACATTGTACTTTCCTTCTGCAAGAATTAGCTATAGTGTATTTAACATAATCTGCTAGGGAACATAAGTATAGAGTTCCCTCAGGAAAACTAGAGAGACAACCTTAATATACAGCTGTAACTTTGAGGAAATGAAAAAATAGATATACCCTGTATTAAACAATTTTTGTGGCTATTTTATAATGTCAGATTACAATGTTTACGTTTTTTTTGCCTCTGACTTGGCGATCAACCTGCTGCATTAAGCTTGACATAGGTATTAGGTATCTCTCTATTGTCCATTATCTTTCTATATCATTATAAGAGTGATTTATTTTCTTTGATTCATTAATTAATCTTATCTTCAATACCACTACTTAAACATGAAAATTGGTATGTTAAATACATTATTTCATATAATCCAGGGCACTGGAGACCCACACACAAACAACTTAATAATAATAATAATAATAAATTTATAGAGCACTTCAACTATTGGTCAATATTCAAAAGTGCTGTACAGTAAGAATATATCTCAAATAGACCACAAGTTACAAATTAAAAGCCTTTTTAAAAAGAAAAGTCTTCAGTCTTTTTTTAAACACAGAAATACTACTACTAGATCTAATAGTCTGCAGTAAAGAGTTCCATAGAACCGGTGCAGTGTGGGTGAAAGCACGACCCCCAAATGTAGAGCAGTTGACTCTGGGACCTGACAGAAGAAACTGTGAGGACGAACAAAGAGAATAGTTGGATTTGGTTTTCATAGACAGAAGATCATTAATATAATCAGGAGTTTGGTTTCATTGAAAATCATCCAAATTCACATGGTCTTATATATGAGACAAAGCAAACTGTAGGGGAGATCAAGAGATTTGTTTGACAGATTAGTTGGTTTTAACCACAGCTACATGACCTTGTATGTTACATATTAGGCTCTGAGCCTTAATCTAAGAAAATTGAGCACCATAGGCTGGTGGGTCATAAGGTGGAGGAGCATTTTGCTGAAGAAAGCCATATGAAGGAGGAGGCTGTGCAGATGGTTGAGAATACCCAGGAAAGAATAGTGGTGGTGCTGATGGTTGTACAGCAGTTGGCTCGAACGTGAAGAATAAGCTGTCCACATCTATTGGATAATCAGGAGCTTTGTCACGGTGGACGTACTTTGCTGACACATCTGCTGAAGTGACAAGCCTCCAGTGATGGTTTGCCAATACATGGACTAGGTGGCACATCAGACTTCTGCCATGGATTCCATCATGTCCACTTATTCCATCTCCCCATGGGTTACCCAGTAGTTTAAATTCAAGACTATTTCCATAGCGCTGCACTCTCTGAATACCAAGAGCATACTGAGCATGAATCACATCTTGACATTTCTAAGCATCAATTCAAAAAGAAAGTTATAAAAGCATTATTTTGTGATACTTTTAAACAGGTTTGCAGTCATGTTTGAATGGGATATGCAGGCCCTCCTGTAAGAACTGTATTATAATCAAAATAGCTAATTAATAGTGGAGCTCGCAGAGCAAAGCCCCACAATTATACAAAATGATAGTAGTAACCCATCCAGCCAAAAAAATTTGGACTTGCAACCGTACAGGCGTCCATACAAGGTACTACTTTTAGCATGTGCGGTCAACTGTACTGCAGGCACACCAACGCCACGGCTTTGTCCAGTAGTCCAGTGGTCAGTGCACTGGGCTCTGAATCAAATGACCTGGGTTCTAGTCCTGGCTGGGGCAAGGTGTTGTGCCCTTGAGACTTATGGGAAAAAAAAATGCAAGCTCCGCTTTTAGGCTTGGCTAAATCTATACAATATTATAAAAGAACACCCGCCAAAGTTCTGAATGTGCCAAACTTAGAAATTCCAATGTAACATTCAAAGTGATGTGATCAGCACGATATATATAGGTAAAGCTCTTCTTTTCGGTATCAGTTACATGCAACAAGTGGTATGTATTATGATAGGACATAAAATTTGAAGATTATGAATCTACATAGTCCAAAGAATTGAGGAAGACTAGATGGCCAAAACTTCCAAGGCACTCAATCAAGGAGATCAATTTGCTCAATTTATCTCAAATTAAAACCTTTTTTGTAATGAAAATAAGATAACAACGATCTAAAAGAATAGCCCCTACGAAAAGGATCAAGTTAACAGCAGTCAACACAAGTTGACCAGAAATAACTGGAAACATGGAAAAAAGTGTTTCTTGTATTTTGAGTGTATATTTATCACATTTCATCTCAGTGGAGTGTGGTCAAGTAAAAACTAAAATGTTTTAAAGAGTTTAAGTAAAGCTCTTTCGGAAATCTCTTTTTGTTTTAAGTAAGACCAAAGTTTGAGGGCTCTTGTTGTCAAGAAATGATTGTGATTTACTTTCTTCTTTCAGAACCAAAGTTAATTTGCTTGAACTCACTCTGAGTGTTTTCTCTGCTCTTCAACTGTATTAACCCTAGTACACAATTCACTGCTGGTTGTTTACAAAATGAAATACTGTGCTATAATTGTATTGATAAGATCATTTTGTGTTATTATGTACTGTAACAATGCTTAATGTCATAACAAAATAAAATAGCTATTTTGCCTGAATTTTTAATCTGGATCAAGTTTTTGTTGATAGGGAGAAGGGAGGAGGTGGGCTCAATAGGGAGGGGAAATTTATTACACTCTGATTATTTAGATGGGAAGGCCTTGCCAGAGAGTCAAGAAACAAGTCTACTAGACAATGATTTGTGTTATTAAAGCCCTTACCTTTGCAATGTCTTCTGGTGCATTTATTAGTCGCAGTTTGTCTGTCTCATTCAAACTTATACAGAAAACTGGAGACTGCCTTGGCTGTGACTGTCTGAAAAGAAGGGAACTCTTATCTGACAGTTTTCTTGAGCTGTCAATACTAGTGACAATGCTCCATCCATATGCCTGCATGGCTTCAATCAGTTTCAGAACCAGATATCTTGAGGTTACTGCTTCTTCACCTGAAGCCCACCAGGGATTTCCGCGCAGCTTAAACTGCCAGCTCAAAGAGTAGCGTGATTCTTCTTGAATACCTCTTGGCCAGTTGGTTTGGATGACATCACGCACAGCAGACGTCAAGCTGTCTGGAATTCCAATCAACCTAACAGTGTCATACTTGTTGAGGCTTATGGTAAAGTGTGGTGGGCAGGGCTGCCCTGATGCAATACTTGGGTCGTGTTCAAAGAAGAAGGTGTTGGTACCACTTTTAAGGTTGGAATTTCCATACAATCTCCATTGCCTCACATGCAGATCAGTAATAAGTGTTTGCAGAAGCACTCTTGAATAAACTGTTTCCTCGCCGTCTGGATGCCAAGGCGTTCCTTTCAACTTGATAAATAACACAAAGTTCTCATAAGACCACCTTTGGATTCCAAAAGGCCATGATTTTTCGACCATGTCTTTGAAAGTTTGATGAAGATCAGCAGGTGCATTGAGTACCATTAAAGTATCAGTGCTGCTGAGGCCCACAACCATGAACGGCTGGGAGGACAACAATGTAACCGATACTTTCTTAAAAATCCACGTAGTAAGTTCTGTTGTTCTAGTCAAGTCACTAGAAACCAGCAGCTTCCACCCATCACGATATAGTCTGTGAAGGAGAGCACCTGCCATCGTCCGGGAAAGTACGGCATCGCTGGATGAGATATTCAGAGAAAATGGATATCCATTCAACTTGAATTCATGAGCTCCATTAAGAAGGAATGATTCTCTTTGGATTCCTCTATGCCATGATTCTTGGATGGTTTGACGGAGGATGCTAATTTCGCGATCTGTACCATGAATGACGCGAATTTTATCCGGGTGACGAATAGTTATGCACATATACTCAAAACCAAGAGGGCGGGGAGGCAAGTTAGACTGAGAACCTCCCATTTTCAGCTTTTAAGAGGACTTCAATGGGGGATGCTATATCGAAGGCGCTCGTCTATAGGGTAAGAGTAAACGGTAAGTTTGGTCAGCGGGGAAATTATGAAACCCGCGAATATTTGCGAAAGCCCGCGAAAGGATGACATTTAAAACTGAAAACAGTTTTTCAGTGAGACACTAAAATGCGTAATCATGGCGGCGACTATTCAATCGTCTTTAAACAAATCGGAGATTGAGTTCCTTGAGGAAAACCTTGAAAATTGTTCTGTTAAAAACCAGTACTTTTTGGGTTATTTCGATGGGAAAAGAGACGAGTTCGAGGATATGCTCGAGAGGTTTCTCCTTTTAAGTTCCACATGCTTTGTAAAGAAGGCATTGCACTCAAAGGAGTTAAATCACA